TGGGAAATATTCATACAATGTTTTTAAGCTGATGGAAAGATCCCCTAGAAAGAAAAATTGGTAGAGGAGAGGGGGAAATTGTAGTTGCAGAGTTCCTTAAAGGTGAATGGTTTGTGGTGGTGAGCTAGTTACATGAACAATTTACTTGTACTGTGTTAATCACGGAGGAAGGAAGGTAAATGGGTAAGATGTAGGAGGGGAAGTAGATTTGGTGGCGTGAGCATGTGAAAGGTCTCTTTGGTTTCTTCTGCCTTTTTCTCAGTGAAATAAGAAGAAAAGTTATCCACAAAGAGCCAGGAGCAGCGAGGGAATGGTGGAGGTTTGAGGACAGAGGAACTGGAATAAACCAGAATCACAACCTACAGTTGCCTCTCCTGGCAAATTTTCAGGTTATCTCAGTTAAAGGGAACCCATCATTGCAGATACTACTGTTGTGTTTGCTTCGCGTTATATACTGCATGGTTGCCGTGCCTCGTCTCATTTCATTCTCATAACAATCCTATGAGACATAAGTACTACTGTTCTTGTTTTGCATTCAAGGAAACAGGCTTAGAGAGGGTAAGTATCTTCTTAAAGTTACACAGCCAGTAAATGGTGGAGTTGGAACCGAAATCTGGATCGCTTGGCCTCAAAGGCAAGTGAGGAAGAGAGCACATCTTAAGAACTGCAAAGCTTCTTGGAGAACTGTAGCACTGTTGTTTCCCATGTTAGAGCTGGTGTTTGGCATTTGCCCGGGTTTTCCTAACAGCAGCTCCACTAGTCAGTTCCCCCTTCCTACTATTACTAACAAAGCGTTTGTGTAATTGGGGATGCTTTTGGCTACAAGAACACTGAGCCATAATGGCTTAAACAAAGGGAGCTTTTGTTTTTGTCAGTAACAGAATGTGTGGAGGTAAGTGAGCAGTTGCAGGCATTGGTTCAGCTGCCCGGCAGAGTTGTGAGGGACCCAGGCTTCCTCTGTGTTTCCACTCCACCCTTGTTAGTGTCCTGGCTTTTCATCTCAAACTTGTCTTACGGTTGCAAGATGGCTGCTGCTGCTGCTGCTGTCACCTCTGCTTTCAAAGAAGGGCAATGGAGAAAGAGCTGTGGGTGAAAGACTAAGGCGTGTGTTTGTCCCTTTTTATCAGGAAAGCTGGAGCTTTCCCAGAAGCTCTACTACCCAGCAGGCTTCAGTTTATATCAGTAAGTCAGAACTGGGTCAGCTGGCGACCCCTTGCTGCAAAAGCATCTGGTCAGTACCGGCCTTTCTGAGGCAGGCCGTGGAGAAGGCATTGGAAGTGCTCAGGAAAGAGCAGTGTCTGTGAGAGGTTCTCTTACCAGAAGAACGGCTTTGATTGGTTTGGTCAGTCACCTTCTGGTATCCAGTGCCCCAGACAGACCTTTCATGTGGGCCTCCTTATGGGTCACTGGCTGGCCCACTTGTGGCTGCTTTGGGGCTGGATATTAATCTATGTCTAAGCTGTGGCATGGGAGTGGTGGGGACAAGTAGCACCAAGGGAAGAGACTGCTCTCCATGTCTTAGATGCCACTTAGGTTCGTCTTGAGAGGTTTTCACAGTTAGTGAGCAGGAGGAGGGAGAAAAGACATCATGGGAATCTTGGTGATAAAGATTTTTTTTTTTAAATATATCTTTATTGATTTCAGAGAGAGGAAGGGAGAGAGAGAGAGATAGAAACACCAGTGATGAGAGAGTCATAGGCTGCAGCCTGCAACCCGGGCATGTGCCCTGACCGGGAATCAAACCCCGATCTCCTGGATCCTAGGTCAATGCTCAACTGCTGAACCACTCCCGCTGGGCAAGAAAGATTTTTTTTTAAGAAACAGAAAGCACAAATCATAAAGAAAAAGATTAAGGAATTTCAACTGCAAAAACTTCTGTGTATCAGAAGATAGTGAAAAAATTCAACTGGAAGAAGGTATTTGCAAAAGCATTAACTGTAAAGGGATTAGTATCCAGAATACTAATCCTAATAATATAATATACATATAAATTTTTAAATGTCAAACCACTCAGTAGAAAAGTGGCTGTTCACACAGGAAAGCTAGATGGCCAATAAACATGAAATTATGCACAACTTCAGGGAAACACAGGTTAAAACCCCACAAGAGATCTGATGCCTGTTAGACAAATGTTGGAAAGTCTGCAAGAGGACCAAGAGCAGTAGAGAAAGAATGAGAGCACTGTGGGTGGGGGTGCACACTGGGACTCTTCTGGCAAGATATTTGGAAAATCTAGTGATGGTGAAATAGACTGTGACCCTGCATATATATCCCCAGTGAGGTATAGTCCCTGAGGGCTCCTGCACTTGTTTGTGGGCAGTGAAAGAATGGTTACTGCAGCATGGTTTATAACAGCAGAACATTGGGAAGAGCCTAAAGAACCATCAGCACGAGAAAAGGTAAGATTGGTGTAATCAGACAGTGACATGAATACTCCAGGCAGCTGCGTGGAACAAAGTGCATGACTATGCTAATTGCAGAAGAATACGTAGAGTATAATACATTTCTAGAAAACCTGAAAACATGCAGAACAACTCCACATTTTGTTAGGGATGCATACATATGTAATAAAAATAAAATGCATGGAAATGACAAAACTCCTGGTCAGAATAGCGGTTACCTGAGAGTGGGGGGTGGGAGGGATGTGTGTGTGTGCAGGGGGTCTTTAACTGATTTGCCACACTTTATTTCTCAAGGGGAAGGTGTTCAGTTGTTTGTCATATTATTTGTATTTTTTGTATATCTGAAATATTAAATACATTAATGTTTAAAGGAGAAGAGTAAAAGAACTTGAAGAATACAGAGTTTAGAAAACAGGTCTGTGCCTGTCTCTGTTGTATCTGTACCAACCAGGCAAGTAGCACGCTTTTGACAGCAATGCTTTGAAATTGTTGGCTTTGTAAGTGATCCTTGACATCTGTGTAGCCTGCTCTGCATCAGAGAGCTCTTTAATCACACACTCTGTGCCCCCACCAGCACTCCCCTGTTCCACATGCGCAAAGAACTGTTTTGATTGGAATTATTTGTCTTGATGACATTTTGCTACAAACCCTACAGAGTCGATTTAGGTTACAAAAAGATAGTATATTTTGAGTAAATGTGCTGCAGAGCTCAAATTAGTTGCAGTTGGTCAAATTATGCTCAGTGAGTGAAAAGGGGCCTCTGTGCTCTTTCATCTCCTGGTGGCTTAGCACCCCAGGCTTCATCTGTGACTCCTGAAATCCTTCTTGTTTGTGGTGCCATGTATGTGATGGGTTTCAGGGGCCTTGAGGTTTCATTCTGGCAGCCCTCAGCTTGCAGGGATCAACTTTGAGGCTCAGCCTGTGAGGTGGACAGTGCATGCCTAAACTTCATCCCCAGCTTGCTCTCTCAGGCCTGGATGTAGGGCTTAACCTGTTTGCTGCCATAGCCCTCTCCTCTCTCATCTTCAGCCTTAGCATTTCCACTAACCACGGTTCCCCCCAAACCTCAGACAGGAACCTTGACTCTGCAGTCAGAGGGAACATGTTGGTTACATAATTGCTGTTTGGAGGTATACTGGCAGGTTAGAATTTTTGGAATGAATTTTTACAGTTTGGTGTTCAGTAATTTTCCAGAAGTATAGGTAGCCTGGGCCAGGTGGGAGGATTCCTCTGTTAGGATTCACCCCCATGCCTCTTTGCAAAGAACCGGGGGATTTGACAGGCTCCCTGTGGTGGAGCATCCTAGAAGGTAAAGCAAAGGATTTTTACCATGGAAACGCCGTAGCCCAGGCCCAGGGCCTCTGGGGGTGGGCATGGTGCTTTAACATGCTACTTCCCAGCAGACTGCATAAAAGGAGGCGAGCTCCCTGAGTCCGGGCTGTTTTTTGGCTGCCAGGCAAGCAGAGTAAGCTGATCAATCCAGGCGGTTTGTCTTGGCTGGTTAACTTGGAGAAACCAAAGTACTTTAACAAGGCACATGGTTGACGAAATAAGTGAACATATCATTTTGCTCTGACAGCAAAACCTGGGTGTCCAGCACAGCACCAGGCTCTGTGGACATCATATAGAGACCTTGTGGTGGTGATGTTGCCAGCAAATCATTCTCAACCCCATGTTTCTTCATAGTCTCCTTCTGATACACTGCCTTTCCTTTCTGCCACATTGCCACTTGCTACTGTCCCTGTTTCTCCTTAAACTAGATGTCTTTGAGTTCAGTGAATTTTATTTTCCGTCATCTAAGTTAAGGACAGCAAATAGCTTGTGCCATCTCTGATCCATTAAAAATGGCTGCTTGACTTCTGGGTGGTAAGGAGGCACAGCTGAGCTCAGCAGGGAAGAATGCTGATCAATTGGCAGTGTCTGTGATTGGCAACAGGGTGAGGGCTTGCAGCACTCCTGCTTAAATACTCAAAAATATTGCCCTGGCTGGTGTGCTCAGAGGTTAGAGCATTGTCCTGTATACTGAAGGGTCTCGGGTTCAATTCCTGGTGAAGGGCACATTTGTGGGTTGCAGGCTTGCTCCCTGCCCCCAGTTGGGGTGCGTGCAGGAGGCAACCAATTGATGTGGTTCTCCCACATCGATGTTTCTCTCTCTCTCTGAAAGAGCAATGGAAAAAATATCTTTAGGTGAGGATTAACAAAAAAAATACTCATAAAAATTAAGAAATGTCTTAACACATCAACTGTGAATGGTGGTTTTCTGTAGATGGTTAGATTACAGGGCACTTCAGTGTTCTTTTGATAATGTTCTGTTTTCTACATTTTTGACAGCACACATGTATTACTTTAATAAGCAAGAAAAACACTCGGTGTTATTTTGAAAAGAAACGTCTTACCTGAATGAAACCAGTGATCTGAACGTGCTGTCAGTGCAGGTGCTGCGGCAGGGCTGTGGCTGCAGTACACCTGCAGGGGCTCGGCGTGCTCACTGCCTTGCCTTTCCTGAGCTCCAGAAAATCCTTAGATCCCGGGCCATAGTTCTTGCTGAGCAGTGGCATGTGGGACTGGCTTACTGGTTCTCGTCCTCTAATGTGGCAGGTCGAGGTGGTGCGTCTATCTATGGCAAGCAGTTTGAAGATGAACTCCATCCAGACTTGAAATTCACGGGTAAGTATGTAATCTGGCTGGATGGGTGGGAGGGAGAGAGGATTTAAAAAGTTCATTCTCTTGGCTGTGATTCAAGGTGAGTGCCTGGCATGGTGGCGCGGTGCCATGTAGCTGCCCAGCTGTGGCGCCACGGAGAGCCCTGGAGGATTAGAGAAAGTGGTGCCTCTCTCAGACGGAGTCCTGAGCGATTCAGAGTGCTGGGCTCAGTGTTCTAGACTCCACTTGTTGAATGTTGCTCTTATAAACTGTAGGAAAACAAAAGCTTCCTTGAAGTGGGAGACCTTGCTGGAGTTTTTATGGGCAGCATAGTCCGGTGATTAGTGAAGAGCATCATGGATAGCGGCCGGGGAGCAGGTGAAGACAAGGTCATCAGGGTGGCGCAGTTGATGGCTTTTGTGTAAGGGCAGAGAGCCTACCCTGAGGGGAGGTGGTTTGGGGGATGTGGTTGATGATAGAGGCCAGAACAAAGCCTGGCTTTTTTTCATCCCTACCTTGGTGTAGAGCTGTGGGGGTTATTAATACTCTTTCCTCTCTTCCTTTCCCCCACAGGGGCTGGAATTCTTGCAATGGCCAATGCAGGGCCAGATACCAACGGCAGTCAGTTCTTTGTGACCCTCGCTCCCACCCAGTGGCTTGACGGCAAACACACCATTTTTGGCCGTGTGTGCCAGGGTATAGGAATGGTGAATCGGGTAGGAATGGTGGAAACAAACTCACAGGACCGTCCTGTGGACGATGTGAAGATCATCAAGGCATACCCTTCAGGGTAGTCTTGCTGCTCTCTTGGGTACACCAGGTCTTCTGAGATGGCCCAGCGAACCAGCTTCCAGATGACTTAATAACTCTGAACTTCATTTTGGCCTTGCGAATCATGGAGCTAAGGAGGCCTGGGGTCTTGGGTGAGTTAGAGATAAAAGTATATTTTTAATAGGATGTTCCTTTTTGCTTCTCCCTGAGCCTCAGCTCACAGAGCATTTGCAGAAATGCCTGTACATGACCACACACAGGTTACTGCTCACTGTAGACGACCCACACTGCTCCTCCTTGTGTGTATCTGCTCTGATAACACTTGGAACAAAATGAAGCCAACTCTGTCATTTCACAACCAAACTTCTTTCTGTGAAGATTTATATTCTGGTCTACACGCAGTCTTTGGTGGCTGACGGCCACAGAATTCAAAACCAAGTAGTGTCTGTCAGCCTTCTGAACTCTGTGCACACCCTGTCACAGTCTCCTACATTTGTTCTTCCCGGGAACGATGCATCTCTCTATATTGTCCCTCAAAACCAGAACATCAACACTGCTGTTTCTGGCACTTAGACATCCCACGCAAAGCCATGTTGGATTTTTGCCAAATGAAAAATGCATTCAACAATCAAGTGTCTAAGAAGGTGTCAAGTGGGGAATGATAATGTGTAATAATCAAGAAACGAATTTATTAAAAGGAAGCCAGAAGCATTGACCATTTTTTCCCCAGGAAGGAGTAGAAATCTGTAGTGAGCATAGGAACAGACTGAATTGTCTTTCTCGGAAAGGGGAAGTACCACTTAAGTTTTTTTTAAACCTGACTTTAGAGAAACTAAGAGATTTTATATGTTAAGGGTTTTTTTTAATCTTTTTGATTTTTGTAGGGGGAGGTTATGACAGAAAGGAAGCTAATACCTATGTAATACATAGAAACTTCCTAAATAAAATGCTGTTGATGGTTGAAATCTTTGCTGTGGCCTGATTTTAAATATTGTATGAGGTTCTATCAGCCATTTTAACCTCTGAACCATCTCAAGTAGTATTTTAGGGCTCGTCTTCAAGATTTCACATCATTCTAGATTTGTGATCTCCAGTGGATTTCTCCCATCCAGAGCAGGTCTGACTTTAAAAAGCAGAACCACAAAGAAGTTAAGTGATCTCGGTTAGCACTTGTGAGTGAGGGGGATTCCCTGTAGATTGACCGGGTGGCTGTGCTGAGTGACCTGAATCTCCCTCAAACCTACAGGAGCGACACCTGCCTGTCCTCGGGCTCAGAGGTGGCGTGTGCTGCCATGTGTGCTTTCTTAGACCGCCAGCTCCTTGATCGAAGGGGGGTTTAGCTTCAGTGTTTCCTTCTCACCCCGTATTTTGGAAGCGGTGGTGTACTCTCTGGAATGGCCAGGCAAGGTGCCAGTCCCAGGTGTCCCCCTCTCTCGGGTGCCAGTCCCAGGTGTCCCCCCACTCGGGTGCCAGTCCTAGGTGTCCCCCTTGCTCGGCCTTTCTCCATCCTCCTCTCCCTTCTCAACATAAAGGAAACCCAGCGACAAACTGTGTAAGTGACTTTGTAAGTTACCAGAGACCGTTTCGGGGTGCAAAGTACTGGGAAGTTAGAAGCACATTTCTTTCAGTCTGAACTGGGTGGACATAATTGGATCCACCTCTAGGAGCAAGGAATCAGACACATCCAGTTACCTCCTGGAATTATAGTCCCGAAACCCCCACTTTCACCCAGGTCAGGGAGTGCCCGAAACCTGTTACCGCTGCTTCAAGGAGAGAAGGTTGTGAGTACACCTGGGAAGAGAGCAGCACAGCCCAGCTCCTAGTTTCTGGGGGACACCAAGCATGCCGAGGTGATGACACATGAGCGGGAACCCATTTTCATAATGGATGTGACCTCCAAGAGTGAAACTTGAATTGTTTCATAGTTTCTAGAGATTCTGCCAGTTAGCCAGAGATGTAGAAATCTGTTTCTTTGTAAAGCAAGCTTATTTAAAGAGAATCCTGGTTAATCCCTTTGTCCGGTGAGTGTCCAGGATCAGTACAGTTAGGAGAAGTCTCATAAAAGTGAGTATGCTAGGGCACAGATGGCCCGTTTCAGTCACATCTCAGATCAAGGTGACGGTAGCTAATGAGAAGGCAAGGATGAGTTTGTAACTTTGATGGAGATTAGTGAAGATAGGTTGTGGGACTGCCAGAGCTAATCAAGGGAAGGGAGAAAGATTCTAGACTTGGAGAGTGTTTGAAGTGTGAGTAAACAAGCCAATGAAAGAAGCCTTCAGACAAGTGTCCCTCAGATGGGTAAGAAGTTTGGCACCCAGACTATAAGGTGCATGGCCCCAAGGGCCCTAGCCCAGGGCTTCTCACACTTACCACACACGAGAACCACTGGAAGCCTGCAAGAAAGCATCCCGGCTTCAGCATCCACCCAGAGATTCTGCGTTTCTAACAGCCCCCAGGAGATGGTGACTGTGGTTCAGACACCTGGTGAGAGCCTAGAAGCCACGTCCAACGTGAAACTGGGGGATGGTTCCTAAGAGCATGTGGCAGTCAGGACCATAACCTGATCATCCTCCTAGACCGGGGCGGTCTTGGAAGAGGAGATTCAAAGCCAGGATGAGCTTCAACGGCTTTTGGCTGCTAAAATGGAGCTCTAAGGAACAGTGGCCTTCTGCCTTCGTCCCCACTGTAGTGCACTGTGGATGCCAGATCCTGTGTGTGTGCCAGAGTGGGTAAGATGGTAAGGTTAGACATTACAGAAAACGCAGGGCAGATGTCAGCGGTTATGACATTGAAGGAATGGGGCTCTGGAACCAGCCTGCAGGGTTCAGATGCCAGCCTCACTGTTCCTTAGTTTCCTCAACCCTAAAATGGGGACAGGGATCCTTATCTCTTAAGGCTGTTGTGTAGATTAAATGAGCTAGAACAGGGACCAGCATTTAGAAAACAGCTACATTAGTACCAGTGGCCTTTGAAGCCACCACAGACCTCTCCCACCTCTTCGAGCCAGCGTGTCAGCAGCCTGACCTTGTTCGCCTCTCCCTCCCTTGGGCCCCCTTCTGAGAGCAAAGACCTTGCCTCACTCCCCTGCATGAGTCCCCTCAGCACCATACGCAATTCTTCAGAGTTACTGCTGAATGAATCAGATAAAAATTGTTCTCTGTCGGGAAAAGATTGAGATCCACCTGCAGAAATAGCTTTACCTCAAGTCTCCAAACCCAGGCTTCAGCTGGTATGGCAGCGAAGCCTTCCATAAGCCCTCTGGAAGTCTTCAGCTTGAGTTATTTTTGGATTGTGTCTCCAGAATAGTCAAAATAGCTTCCCCTACACAAGTGGAAGGATTCCTATCCCCAGATCGTCAGGCCAATCTGAGCTGTCATGTGGCCCCTTCTGGCACTACATGCTTGCAACGCGTGGAGGAGGAAACATTGAAAAGCACATTTGTTCAAGCGGCGGAGTTTACTGCCTACAAATCACTTCACAGCCTCAGAGCCCTATTGCTGTAGAGTAGATTACAATTCTTTAGGTAAATATCAGAATAGGGGATCTTCTAGCAACATTCATTTACAGATAAGAGAAGCTGAGTGCAAGGGAAGAACACAAGTTAGGGTCTCACTGAGGCTGACTTGGTCTAATTTAGAAGTTGGGCCCTCCTTTGTTCTTCCAGTTGGGTGATCGCTGATCTCTAACTGCATCGGAACCCACAGAGAGACAGTCTGGGGCAAGGTTCGTGGACAGGGAGATGTGAGGCTTTGTGTGATCTTGGGCGAATCACTTTACCTCTAGAACTCGGTTTCCTTGTTCATCAAGCGAAGATCAGAACTAAGTCCTTTTTAACTGTAAATTTCTAAATCTAGGTCATTCTAAGAGAATTCATTCCTTCAGCTGCCAAGCTTCCATTTAGTATGGCATTTTGGAAGTTTGCCACTAGAGGCCACTGTGAATACAGTTTAGCCTTAGAGCTTCTTCGAAACGCAGAAGTCTACAGATGCCTTCCACGATTCTGAGGCAGGCCTGCCGCCCCTTGGAGATAGAAAACCAGCCACTGCTCAGACTGTGAGGGGCCAGAATTGAGATGTCAGCTGGCACTGAGCAGGCCGAGGAGATGCTCTTTGCCAGCAAGGCCGACCAGCGCCCTCTCCTGTGTACTGGCCTGAGTGGAGGAGAAGCCTCCGGCCATGGTGAAGTGGGATGAGCTCTGTGGCCTGGGCCTGACTCTGTAGCGTGCCTCGTCATAAAGAGGCAATTCCCTCTAAGCTGCTTAATAGTCCACTTTACAGTGGAATTCCTTTATTCAACAAGTAATCTTAGAGCTCCTCTTTTATGCCCAGCAACAGCAAATATTTTCATGGAATCCCAGAAAGTCAGCCAGAAGGAAACTTAGAAGAAAATAAAAAGTTATTGTTGTCCTTTCTCTGTTCCATGGTTCAGGAAGCTTCTTATATATTTTTTTCTCTCAATCCCCCAAACCAGCCTCTGAGGTTGGCATTATTATGCCCATCTGCAGGTGAGCAAACTGAGGACCAAAAACAAGTAGCACAAAGCCTTGTACAGAGTGGTGACTGGGTGAAAGAATGGGCCCAGGGTTGCACGGCTAGTAAAAGGCAGGGCTGGGATTTGAACTGGGAACTTATGATTCTAAGATCAGCCCTTTTATCTCCTTTGACATACAGAGGAGGGAGATGAGGTACAGAGAAAGGAAATGATCTGGCCGGGCTGGGGTTAGAACTGAATCTCCCACCTTGAAGGCTGGGCTGTCAAACTGACTGCTCCATCCTGGAGTGTCCCCAGGCCAAGCTGGTTGGGAGGCCCCAGCCTTAGCTGTCTGCAAGGACCTTCCAAGCAGAGCCTGCACCAGACCTGCCCAGGCCCTGCAGGAGGGAGGAAGGCAGGCAGGGAAGGAGCACAAATGACCCTAATCAGTGTGTTTATTGGATCATAACTGTATTAGCCTCACCACTCAGCTAATCGCACAGAAATCACTTTCCTCTCCGGGAGGATCTGGCCGCAGCTCCATTAAAAGCTGCTAGCCCGGTACCTGTGAGGAAGCTGCACAGCAGAAGCAGCGGGGGAGGGGGAGAAGCAATATTTCTGCTTCCTCATTACGCTGACGGGGAAAATGGCCATTTCACATTCACTGTACAAGAAAAGCCCCCAAGGGAAAGGGAATCCGAGGCTCGCAGTTGTCTTTTTGGCAACATTCAGCTCTAAGAGAAAATGTTTCCTTTGTGCCTCCCTTTTTGAAAGCATTTGTGTTGCTATTAAAGATAAAACAAGAAAAGGGAAGGAACTCGAGGCTGGGGAACATACCAGGTGCCAGGGCTTCACGTGCATCCTATTTAGTCCTCTGAAGGCCTGTGAACAAGGCAGCACAATGTCCATTCCAGAGACGAGTCCATCTCATGCAGGCTCCACATGGCAGGGCTGAGCTTCGAGCCTGGGGTCGGCTGTCGCCCTCAGCCATACCCTGAACTCCCACAGGGCGGTTTCCTTACCGTTCTTTGCTCCCATTCCAGCTCAAATAATTTGGAAACCGGCTTTCAAGCCAGATCACTGTGTGACCTTAATAATCTTCCCCAAGTCTCACTTCTTCCATGTGCCCAGGCCAGAGGGGTCCCTCAGGTCTAAACTGGGACAATTTCCTGATGGTATTTTTCTTCCAGGTAACTCCCAGCCATCCTTATTTCATACCCGCTTGGAGGAGATGGTGGTATGGGTATTAGAATCCTCATTTTTAAAGCTGGGGAACCTGAGAAGCAGAGACAACGAGAGGTTCAAGGTCGCAACATGAGTGGAAAGACGGGCACTCTGCCTCTTGCCCCATGCAGGGGGCAGGCAGCCTCTGAGAGGCTGTCAGCAGCAGCTCCCAGAGCCCGCCACCTGAGCCTCAGCCTGGCTCCTGATAGAATTATCAGAGAACTGGGGAACACATACTTCCCGTAATCAGGGCAACTTTTCTTAGCCAGGG